TCATCCAATGGAATTAGAAAACCACACAGTAGCGGCCAAGCGTTGAGGCAAACTGCCACAGAGCAGTCGGTGAGCTCGCATGAGCCTAGCGAGGTTCGTTTTCGTCCTTCGGTCCATCCTCAGCTGCAGTTTCTGCAAGCGAGAAAAGCAAACGCCGCATGTTCTCAGTTCCTCCCAGTCAGTACAGGTGCGATCCCTGCGATGTCAGTGGTGTTCTTAATGCTGCGTGAAAATCTCGCAAGTGTCGAAAGAGCGATTTGGAATGGCGCCCAAGAGGCAACACGGCTGTCTATCCCAGCGTGCGGCGAGGTCTGAAAAGGCCAAGCGCCCTTTTGCAGACAGGCTGGAGCAACGCCTAGCCCTTGGATCAGGGGAGAATCTTGGCTGCCCGTGCGACTCATTTCGACCCGGCCTTGGAATATAGACAGCACAGCACAGCCGCACCGGCTTCCGCATCTTACAAAGCACCGCCTGCCAAGGGCAGGTCGTTGTAAACTGTCACTTGGCGCCCCTGTGTTTCGGGGTCCCGCCTCTGTGCTGGGTGAGCGGGGGCTGCTAAAACGCAAACCACTCCCCGAGAGAAGTCGAGACAGTGGGGCCCAATGAATCTTCTTAAGCCCCACCAATGTGACACAATTGCTGAAATGCCTCGAGTTTCAGCACGAAGGAGCAGTTTGCCAGTGTCACACAAGGCTAATAGGGGGGGAGATGCACAAAACATCGGCGAGAAAGACCCCAGCAAATGCAGAGCCAAGCGCTCGCTTCAGTGCCACTAACCGTCGTCCATGACAAAGTATTCAAATCGCACTGCCCAGGTGGCAACCATGATGATGTGGCTATGTCTGCATCATGTTCAGAGATCAACTTCAGCATTTCAGAGATTGAGTACAGAAATTGGCGAATTGGCTATTCTTTGGGCGCTTCCTTGTCAGGATTCAGCCTGCGACAGGGCTCAAGGCACCCACTACACCCACATGCTTTACAAGCTACTTCCCGCGAGCTCCGAGCAGAGAGGGAAAAAGGGCGAGCTGAGCCGGTGGGAAGGAACGTACTTGGTTACAATCATGTCTCGGGGTGACGCTAAATGGGTTCCTACGAATGGATTCTACACGGATGGTTTTGTCCTGAAGCCATCGGAAGCCAATCTGTCCCTTGACTTGTCAGTTCAGTGGCAACAGCGTACGCTTTGGTCAAGCTGAGGGCAGCGGGCGCTTACTCGTGAAAGGCGCTGAGCGAGAGCGGTGGACACTGAACGGTCGAAACGTGGTCCTGGAAGAAGGTCCCTTTTACGGGCGTTTGGGAAGTACCTTTCAGCATGATCGAGTAGAAGCGAGACCTGAACAGGCTGGTCCTCCAAGGGCTCTGCAAAAAACCGCTTCCCTCATGCCAAGAATACCACCCTTAGGAAGGTGACAGACAGCGCTGCAGAGACACCTACGTGGCGAAGATAGTTCGGCCTTGGCACTCCAAAGCGGAAGAACAACATAAATAACGCACCTCTGGCCTGAGAACCGCACAAAATTCACAAGCCAGTCCTGTCAGAAGCCCGCCTTTCGGCGGCTGTAACTTACACCCGCTGGTCTTGGTCGGCCTGTAGTGGCACGGACTAGCATCTTCGTTGGGCACTGGTGGGCACGGGCACTTTACGCAGCAAGTGTGAATCACCTGGCCAACTAGGAAAAAAATATTGCTTGCGGATTTCAACGCCGCCGCTTACTTCGGTCTTGCCCTGCGGGCGCGCGCAGGATTCAAGACTCGTTGGCGGGCAACTTGATCCGAACTTGCGGCGCTGTCAGCTGCTCGGATGAATTCGTGCCGCGGAACGAGCGGACAACGACCACCGTGCTCACAGCTCGCACGGAGACGCTAGAAACGGCTCTTCAGCCAAGCCCTTGAAGCCTCTTGCTGAATCGCTTATGCAAAAGCTGCCGCAAGTACTCCCAGCAAAGAAGCTCCTTCACGCGCAGGCCCTGCCCACTGAATAAGTTGCGGCATGCGCCGCTCATGCTTTGCTCACCGTCGGCCAAAGTGGTGGAACATAGTGTGACTAAAGACAGCGCAGCTCTGTTCTTGTTCCATCCCTTTTTGCTGCATGTGGGAGCGCCTTTGGGCATGCTTGAGTACAGGCGAGACCTGAACAGATCGAAAGCAACATGAAGTAGTGCCTCAAAGGACTCTACCAAAAAGGGGCGTCAGAAGCTTGACAGCTCGCAACATGCACTTGGGGGAAAGATCTTGACGGCCCTTAATCTACCTGCACAAACTGTTTTTCACCAACCGGAGGCACGGAACCTCAACTTGCTCGTTTGACCCGCTCGCGATCATTCACGAAGATCTGCGCGGTTTGGGCAAGGGCCTGCTGTACTTTGAACCCTGACCTCCTGTCGTCCAGCCACAGTCACAATTTTCAGTAAGGAGCCCCCACTTCAGTGCCTGGCTTTTGTTGGGTCTCCCTCCAAAGCAAATCCAAGGGCGTCACTTTTCCCACGTGACTCTGAGACTCGCTGAGCAGGGATCCAAATGCATGAAAAACAAACCTGAACGTTGCCTTGCTTGTCTATTTGGTGTTGTTTCCAACCTTATGTTGGTGTGGAATAAGCCAAAAGTGTTTCAAATGGTTTCCAACTTTATTTGGGTGTTGAAAAAGCAACATGTTTCAAATGGTTGCAAAATGGAGATCTTTTAAGGAGCCCTGAGCCCAAGGCATTTTCAACTTTGGGGGCTCAAGCACTCGCTCCGGAAATCGTGAGAGGCTCGAGTCAACACCCGCAAGGATACTTGACTCAAGCATGCGCAGCAAGAAAGCAGACTGAAACTTGCGGGTCACTCGGATGCGGAGCACGGAACAGCGTTTACGTATTTTTTCGCCAAACTGTGAAGGTGGCACAGGCGACACTCGACACTTGTGCAAGCAAGCGGGGCCGGATGTGCCGATCAACGGCCTCAGTCTGGAACAGAGCAGCGAATGGACCAAGACCGAGTTCACCCGATGATGGCAACTTCATGCTGCACGTCATCCAAACTGTTGGCCCAAACTCCGGCCGCGCCTCGCAAGCTCCCCTGCGCGCGCCCGCGCGCGCCTAACAAGGCTGAACGGCCAGTGCGTGCAGCCTTAGGCGCTGGCCATCTAAGGCGTTGCAAGGGCCAAATCAAAAGGCAAGCTCAGGTGTCTTCCAGCTTGGCGGGCAGGGGAAACGCTTGGGTTGTGCGACGTCAGCTTTTACTCGCACTATCCAACCTACTTTAATCCAGCAACAACCGCGTAAGTACCCGAACGTAATTACCCGGTTCCTGCCAAGCTTTGAAAAAAGCATTGATCCATCCAGCAAGCTTATCAAGTTAAGTTGCATTCCCAGGACAACTCGTACCCCCTTGGTGGGTTTTGCGATGGCCGAGCATACCACAACAACTGTGGATGGACCTTGCCTGGTAGCTTTCAGGGCACTGGTGCCACAGCATTCAGGCCATCACTGTGGCGCCTTCGCACCCGGTCAAACAGCGGCTGCGCGCAGCTCGTTGCCGGCGCGCTGAAGCTCAGCGCAGCAGTTCAGTTGATTCGGCTCTCCACCACCCGGCCAACCCAGTGCATCTGCGCGCAACTCATTAAGCTGCACGCGCCAAAGACCAGCTCACTTCCGTTCATGACCGCGAAAGTGAAGCCATTGCTGTAGAAAAGTAGTAGAGCTTTTGAAGATGCACCCGCCGTTGACAACATGCCAACAATGCGTTTTCAGCGCGAAAACCTCTGTGCAGCTTGCAGTTTGGGTAGCACCCGTGCAAAGAAATAGAAGTATGACCGAAGGTGTGACTTTGAACACCCCTCTCTTTATACCAAAACAATTGCCATGCGGGCATCACAAGCAAACCTCAAACCCTGCCTAGAATTAACTAAATCACTCGAGCCAAGCAGTTGTCGCGCAGACCAACAAACAGTATGAGAAATCAGCGCCCTCCAAAACACGGAGCTAGTGCGAGACTCATTAAGCAAACGTTTGAATGGGTCTAGTATCAATTTTGATGGCAGCAAATAAGCAGCAAAACCAACGTGCCCTCAGATGAAGCATCCCATCCTCCCCCAGATGGATACAGGCGATTTGGATCGTGAACCATGACAATACGTGGCTGCTCCATCGCGGAGAAAATAATTGCAAAAGGGGCCTGTTTACCTGCGGCAGACGCAAAGAATTGCACAAAGTACGCAAAGCACACTTGCTTGCCATCGGAAGCAAACGAAAGGGTCCCCATGAAAGGACCCAACCTGTACCCGACGAGGATGACAGTTGAAACTGCCAAGGGCTCGCAAAATCTGCGGGAGGCATTGCTTCCATTCAACGACATGAGTTATGCATTAGCTTGCAGCCTTCGAAATGGCATCTTAAGGGAAACACCAAAAGAAAATCGACCAGATTCAGACCATGCTCGCACATGTCCCAAATGCGCATGACTCGCCGAGTCATTGGGATGATTGGGCCCGTGGTGTCCCTTGAAACCATCCCCCAAGAAGGGGTTCCCCAGCCCCAAGAAAACACAACACACGCCCAAGCGGGCGACCCCGGCGAGTTGCAACCCCGTGCTTCCGACGCACCCAACTTGGCTCCAGTAAAGTGACATCCTGAAAATCACCAAAAGATGGCTTGAATGGAAACAACCACAAGAAAAAAATTGAGGAGCCTTCCAAATGGAACCTTTTTGAGTGGACCGAGTAGAAGGATCAAAAGCTCCTTGTGTGTGTGTGTGTGTGTCATGAACCCTTATGGTTGTCTAAATTCAACTACGTGGCCACGAGTTTCAATAGGTCACCCCCCTCCACAGTGGTTGGTGGACATAAATCCTCTAAATGTCACCCAAAGCCAACCACTTCAACGGAGCCCAAATAGGACCGCACCTAGCTCAGCAACAGACAACATTACTTACTAAAGGTTTATGTAGGTAGGTTCTGGTTTAGGAACTCAAGGAAACTGCCCCCCCCCTAAATCAACCACGCCACGTGTTGTTTTTTTCGTTCGTCGCTCATCTGGGGTCCACCCGTGCGAAGAAGAGGTCGATCTCTGCGGCGCAGGTTTGGCAAATGGAGGAGCTCGCGCCCGGCTCCCCGCAGTCGTGCTGCCCCTGGCAGGCGCTTTCACTTCGCCCGGGAAAAAAAAAGGGAAAAAAAAAAAACTCCCCGAAATGGCTCCAGGAAATCCCTTCGCACCGCGAAATAAAGCCATGGTTGAAGTTTGTATTTACATTGGGGAATCGAGTCATGCCATGGTTGGACGGTGGTGCGACATGGATTTCGTCCACAGTAAAAAAACAATCGGTGCATATCTATTTTTGAGGGTACCCTCGGCAAAAGGAAAAGACGGAAGAGAAAATCATCATAGGGATCCCCCCCCACACACATGGTGCTACTTGAGCTCAATTTGCAACATCGCTCGTGGCAGGTAAGGATTAAGGATCGCCTTCGAGCCCAGCAAAATTGGATGAGCTGAAAACAAATCCGAAAAAGGCTCAGTGGATGATCCTAGATTCCCGAAGGAATCATACAGTATCACAGAGACCAGAGTTCCATTGAAAACCAAACAAATGCCATTGTAATGCAGTGTCCTAAACTCCTTTGAAAACCAAAAAGCTGCTCCCCCGAACTCCGGTGAACTGGAATCCCGGTTCAAGCGATGTGTTTTGCATGCTGTTTCGGGCAAAGTGTCAAAAACCTCGAGAAAACCGTTTTAACAAAATTACTGTGTCAGCTGTCCTGGCTTGGGGAGCAAAGTCCTGTTTTGGTGCTGTTTGTTTTTTGCGCACAAAGGTGCACTTCCTGGGTGTCTTGCTTTGTTGCAAACACAATAGCCCCGGCAAATGGAAGAAAACCCATCTGATCCAGTGCCGCCTATCTCTGACCAAACTCAGAAGGGACACCTGTGATCCTCCACTTCATGACTCATAGGGCGGAGCCTCGCAGCCTCAAGTCTCCGCCAGCCGTGGCCAATGGGTATGGCATGTCCCTTCCCGTCTGAACATCAGCCCAAACGACGACCCCGAGGCGCAGTCGAAAAAATAAAGAGAACCGGGAACCTTCATGGGGCTACGCCCGGATCGGCGACGCGCTATGCTTTGCCCAGAGCCATCCTGACAAGACAAACCAACCCTGAAAAAGAAAAGGCAGTGATAGATTCCCCTTTCAAAACAACCCACAGAAGAGAATCCGTCTTTCACCCAGCCGCAGAAAAAAATATGTTTCCCTCCCCCCGCCCCCCACCAGACCGCCCCCGCGAGCGGCTTCGCCCGAGAAGCCCCGCCTCCTCATCCCAGAACACGCAGCGATAGCCCTGGCGCCGCATAAAGCGCACCGCCTCCGAGCAGTTGGGCGCCTGCAAATAGGCGCTGGCCGCGAAGTCGCAGGCCAGCTCCAGCTGCACCCGCTGGATCCTGGCGGTCAAAAACGAAAAAAGAAAAAAGGGAAAAAAATGAAAGAAACAAAAAAAAGGAGGGGGAAAAAAAGAACAAAAAGCGGGGGCGTTTGGAAGTGCAAAACGTATGTGGATCCACCAAGCTCTAGGAAATGGCACTGGGTCAAATCCCCAGTGGTTCGGTGAACACCCAGAAAGCCTCCTGGAAAGACAGCAGTGGAGTGGGAGCCATCCACAAAAAGGCACCTTAGGATTTGACCCACAACCATATTGTTTCAAGAGTACTAGAAGATTACTTTAAAGAATGGAACAACTCAGGGAAGAAGAGGTGAATTCCACAAAACGCGCAAATCCAAGCCGTTTGCTGGATGAGATGTGGAGGGAACGGTTCCTGGCGAGACCCCTCCACAAAAAGTTGCTTTTGCCCGGATTTGCCCGAGGGAAAAGGTCCAAAGACCCAACCAGAAATAGACCAAACAGCAAATCCAACTTGGTCTGTGGGCCCAATGAAAAATCCTAGCTGTTTGAACCAAAGATCCGTTACCAAATAGCCAGAAAGGAAACTGAGGATTGGAGAAAATACGAGGTGATATCCGCAGCCCGGAACCCGCAAAGGAACACCACCCTTATCCCCTATCTGGGCAGAGACTGCGTGCCAACAACAAAAACAACATCGGGTTGGAGACAAGGGGGCAAGGTATGTTGAACAGGGGAGAAATGCCTACCAACGAAAAATGAGTGGGAAACAAAACCCGGGGAGAGGTATGTTAAAACAGGGGGGGAATTGGGAGTGAGGTGTGCAAGCGGGGAGGGTTGGGAAGATGCAAAAAAATGAGCATGTGTCTAAACAGGGGTGGACCTCCGCAAAATGGTAGCTTGCTTTCGCTCAATCCTGGAGGCTGAACATCTGAGAAGCATGCCAACAAGCCATCCAAAATTGGGTGGGATAGGGGGAAGGAGAAAAACGAGACATGGGTTTGCTGCTGCCTTGCTACTTTGGACGTGGAACGGAGGATATTGCAAGACTGCGTCCCTCCAACAATCATGGAAGCTGACGATAGCAGGGTTCTGGAAGACGACTTTTTCCTTTTGGAGAACCCTTCCGTCTTGCGTCATGGTTGGAAAGAGGGTACCGTCTGCTTACAAAGGGTCACCCCGTGTTCGCTTCCAAGATCGTTGCAAGGGCCCAATTGCAGCCCCACCCCCGAGCGCAATTTACCCCCAACGAAGGCCACAAAGGCCGAAAGCCACATCCCCCGGCCTCCGCAGCATGCGGCCGGCACTCTTCACCACTGCCAGGTCGGAGCCCTGCGCGTCCACCTTCCTGAGATCGTTGCCATTCGTTGCCATTTGCTTTTTTGTGGACCTCCATTCGACCTCTTTCAGCTTCCTCTTGGTGACTTGGATTGGTGGTTTTGGGTGGTTCTCCAGTTATCCTCTAGAAAGGGGCTCAAATCACCAATCCAAACCAGACTGTTGGCTTGGGCCAAACAAAAAGATCGGAGCGTCAAAACAAACCGGCTGGACAACCAGATTTACCCCTTAACCCCAGATTGATTCATCAACCTGGTGGCATAGTAGAGTGTGCTTTCCTCTAAAGTGACGGAGGCCCTCCTAAATGGAACGCCGTTTTTGGAGGCTCCCCCCGTTTAGTATCTTGGGTTCTACCAAAAATCGATGTCTTTTCTGAGGGCACTGTTTTTGAACTGAAGGGAATTCCCCATTTCAGAGGCTCACGCAACGCACCAGGCGTCTACCCTGGAGAGACTTCGGGACCCTACAGGACAAAGGCCTTCCTCCTTGTCTTGCACAAAGAAGGCTTTCTGGGAGGGGGTCTTGGGGGGCCGAGGTTCCCTTAGCACAGCACAGTATCTGCTAATTATGGGGCCCACTTCCACTCCGCTTTCTGGGTTACCCCGCTGCGTTGGAAGAATATCGCAGTTAGAAACTCGCTACCAAAAAAGGCAACAAAGTGAGACCCCTGAGGGTGGCAGAGTCCTCGATCTGCAAATCAAACCAACCCCGACAAAGCAACTCAGCAACTCCACTCCCATCCTCTCACGAGAGAGGACGAAGCCTGGCAGTACCAGTGGACGAAAGACAACTCTTGATGTGGCCAGATACTGCGACTGACTTTGTCCTTGAAAAGACCAGCTTGGATGCTGCATGAACCCATCCTGTTGTCCCGCCTGTTGAGATGCTTTCGCACTCGTTTGCAAGTCGGTTGGGCAAGTTTTGGTTGATGGTTTCGAAAGAAAAGCAAGTGCTCGAAGTCTGCCATCGTTGAGGGTGCAGCCCTTGCCAGGTAGCCCCATGACCAGTCCAAAACCTCTACCTCACTCGGTGAGCTCGCTATTCGTGAAGACAGATTATTCTAGGGGTTGTTGCAACCATCGTTCTTTTCAGAAAGAAGGATCCCTGGAAAGAATGGGGGGAGGTACCCCAGAATTATTGACACCTGGTGGTACATCTCCAAAAGCATCGCATCTCCAAGAACATCTCCCTACTGTGGATGGACAAACATCATTGCGCGCCCACTTTGAAACCATGGTTGAAACCATGGTCGAAGTTGGTATCGACGTTGTGGAATCGACTCAGAAACCAGGGCTTCTGAACGGTGCGAAATGGATTTCGCAACCATCCACAGTAGGTCCAAACCGGTGAGACTTCATCACAGCGTCAGGTAGTAGACCTCGCTTCCCCCGAGCCACGACCTGAGCAAAGGCACGGGGTTGCTCCCCTGGTGATGGCACCAGGAGACCTATGGCTGTGGTTGTCAAGAAGTGGGTAGCCCCAGAATGGGTTGCCCTAGCATGAAAACACGGACCAAAACCTGCGGCTCATAGCGTGGTTCAATTTTGCCCATCCCTTTTGTGGGCAATGGGGATGCAAGTGACACAAATGGGAAGGAATTGTGCCATCAACTTTCACCCAACTTTCACCCAGCCCAGCGGACCGATCGAGGTGTTGCTTTGTTGCCTAAAACTGCTTCACTGCTCCAGCATCACCGGCGTCACTGGGCCTGGGCTGCCCTATTGGCTCTCTGGGGGGTGGCTGGCGTTGGTCTTACTGCGGGCGGGTCTTGGGGTGGATTCATTTAGGCTGTTTTTTGTTCCTCACCGCAAAGCCGATTTGGGCAAGTCAACTCGGGCCCTCGCGCTATGGGTATTTGGGTATAGAGACTTGCCTGGCAGGCATGTAACATACGTATGCGTGTATGTATATATATATATATAATGTATACATGTATGGTGCTCCCCCCCAACACACAAAAACATGTATACATCTGTGTACATCTGTACACACTGTCAATACGCCTCACCACAAGAAGTAAACTTGAGCTTTTGCGATACCAAAATGTTCGGTCATCTGCACGACATCATGACTTTAAAGGGGAAAGTATCACAGAAAGTGGCAGCCTAAAACCGTCGATGCTCAACCACTTCTTGGCCATGTCCACGGATCGGCCAAAAGGTCCAAGTGTTGGTCTCCGCCGATGCGGAATGGTTCGTTGCCCTGGAAACCGAAGTTGGAAGTTGCATACGCGTGCGGTCAGGCAAAAAAAAGAAAAGAAAAAAACAATTCCAAGAGGATTGCTCATGGTACAACCAGGGCTCCCCCCTCAAAAATCACGCAATTTACATGGGCCCAAAACGTGATGCTTGAATCCACCAAAGGGAAAATATCATCTGAAAAAAAAAGCCCCCCCCCCCCCCCTCCCCGGCATTCCTTACTACCGTTTTGAACAACAGACCAGCGCTCGCTGGAAATGCTAAAGACGAACCGTCCCTTCAGCTCCCGTTCGGATTGGTCTCCGTGGGTTTCCCGGAAAAAGGCGGACAAACGGCAGAAAACCCATAAACACCCCCCTTCCTCTTCAGATGGGCTTCCACCCCCACTGCCCGAAATTCCGAGACGGCGAAAACCCACTTTGAGTTGGCAGCTTTGCCTCGTGTTGTTTGGGCTTTCTTTTCAGATTCCCTTTAGCTGAATTTGGCTTTAACATGACACTTGAGTCCCTAAATCGGAAGCGGATCCACTTCGGGGCACAATGAAAAATCCCACCTATCGATCCGGCAAAATCAGAAATGTGAGAAACCCCTCCAAATGGTCCATCCTGAAACGCGGCTCAAAATTTCGAACCTCGCCCGCAAAGGTTAAGGTGAACAAACCATTCTAAGCCCAAATCAGGCCAAATCAGCCTGATTTATTGGGCGAGTGCTTCACGACCCACATGACCTGGGGTTGATCAACCTTCCTGGCCTGCAACTAACCATGGGTAACTTGTCCTATTCAGTGCTTGAAAAATCTCAAAAAAATATTCTTGGTCGCTTTCCAGCCAATGGTCGGCCCACACACGTTTTGATCAACCCCCACTCTTCGATCCAGCGGGGGGGGGGGGGGCAACGATCGCTCCAGGCGCCTAGGCGCATAGGTGTCTTTTTGGGGCAAATAGATGGATTTCCCTGCTAGATGATTAAACCACCAGATAAACCAGGAATCGCCATCAATTTGTCCACCGAAACCACCAAAAGGACACCAACAGCCTAGGCGCCGAATGACGTGCTCCAGGGAGATGCAAGGCACCAGACGCTTCTCCGCCGCAGTGGCGCACCTCCCCTCGCGGAAAAGCATCCAGCGAGAAGCGGCGAAGCTGCGGTGGCGTGTTGGTGATTTTCTCCGGAAAGAGGGGGAATGGACATAAACCAATCCCCACAAGGAAAGGCGTCCTCCTCCCAACACCCTGTGATCGTCAGCTATGAGTAGGGGGAATGTTGGCCCCATATCAATCAACCCCCGTTTATTCATAGGTGCCCTGGGAACACAATTAAAAGAAAAAAGAAAAAGGTACGTGTCGACAGGGAAGCATTGGAGGTTCTGCTTAGACGTTCGAACTCCTTCAGTAGGTTATCACCTAAGAGAGTCCTCCAAGCGACCTGTGCCACGGGTCCCGAAAAAGCCTCAGAGAGCCTTCCTTCGAGAGCGCATAGCTCCGACCAAACCAAACTTACGGACCGGTGGACAAAATCCATGCCAGGCACCTGGTGGCATGGAACCAATTGGAAGACTGATTGATACACCACCCAAGTCCCAACTGGTGCCAAGTAACCACTAAGTGCATTTTGTCCATGAACAACGCATACATACATACATATATATATATATATGTATATATATATATATGTACTTTCTACACATACATAATGTATATATATATGCAATACATATATACATGTGCATATATACTTATGTATATACAAAATCAAAAGTGTGTGTGTGTGTGATCTCTCCAAATGGCTATTGCTTGCCTTCAAGCTGTCCCACTATTGGGTCTTTTCTGGACCTGATAAATGAACGGGTGATCCACAAACCACAACACGGTTTGCAAGAAAACCATTGCTCCAGAAAATGCAATCATAGAAAACAGCTGTTTAGGAACCCGGATTTTCTGGGTGCCAGGTAGTTCTGAGGGCAAAGGGTTTCTTCAATGGTATGAATGCGTCTCCTGCTGCACATGGAGATCATTGCGATTCAGTCAGTCTCAGTCAGTCAATCTGCCCTCTTCGCGCATCAATCATGCCAAAACTGAGCGACGAGGAAACAAAAGCAGACTCGACGTCCCAGGCCAAAGCCAGACTAAGAGGAGCCAGCGGAGGGACCCGAGATGAGACCTGGTCAACAGCGTCGTCTGATAGAATCGGCGGTCGACCAGGTACCAGCACCCTCGGCCTGGTGGCGGCACCAGGCATAGTGACAGGCCATGTCCTGCGCCTACGAGACGTCTCGACAATCCTCAAACACACGCCTTCGTTCGGCTAAACCCAGTCGAGTCGGCCGGCAGCCTTGAAAGTATACTAGCCCCTCGCAGGGCACAGAGCAAGCTGGCAATATCGCTGTATGTATCATGGCCGCCCAATAGGGCAGCAGGCAGATTGCGGTAGAAATGCACATGTGGCAAAGAGATCAGCGATAGAGCGACCCTCAACCGCGCAGACATCGACCCGACCCAGAAGATGCTGAGGAACCTCCGGCTGCGAAGCCAAAAAGTTGAAGCATTTGGGGCAAGCGTGCGACCAAGGAAAGGCGGGCCACGTCAGCCGCAAGGCGCGCTCGCCTGCCTTCAACATCAATCAAGATGATGTTATACGCCGGAGCAAAAGGAGAGCCAAGCAACGGGCGTTTCGCAGCATCCAAGCTCCCGCACCTCTTCAATGGAGGCCAATACCCATACCAAGCCGTCGAGGCTTCTGAAATCGCATCGATCGCTCCGGGCGGACACCCAACTGAGCACTAACTTCGATGGAGCACGTCCTGGGATTCCTGCTTCATAGCCATACCCTCCGTTCAAAAACGTGGGAAATTGACAGGGGTTGGTGTGGGAACTTCCCCTAAAATCCCTGTCCACTTCCATTATTGGAAAGAGGGCATGTACTCATTCATGCTTCACTCGGTTGGCCTCTGGTGAGTGGGGCATAGTCATTCTCCAAGGTTTGGTTCGCCTTACAAGCCAACCTGAAAAGGGTACCAAGAAAACACAGCAACCACAGAAAACCTCTGTGGTTCGCCTTGTGCCCACGTGAAAACGAATGCAACAAGGAAAAAAATGATTATCATCTTTCGAGGCTTGAAGGATTTGATTCGATCGCACGCCTTGAAGTCGCGGACGCCGAAGGTCTCGGAAAGGCGGGCGTCGAATCGAGGTTTGTCTCTAACTGTCCGGTGGATGTCGCCCACTTGTCGTCAACGCCACGTCCCAATAGGAGGAGGTCCTTGTTTGAAACTCAGGATGTGAGTTGTGCAAATGGAACCAAGAAAATGACTGTAGTCTATAGGGTCGAGAGAAATACTCAGCTCAGAAAAGACCAAGCCCCTCTACAAATGGGGGGAGCTCTCCAAGATGACTATTTCCTTTTCGGCTTCCTTTAAGCCAACCAAGCAAGGGCACCAACACCAACAAAGGAACCACACCCAAACGAGCTCCCTCAAAAGGAGCCCTTAGCATCTGTCACAATGGCTGCTGTTTTAATCTCAAACCATGGCCCCTTTTGCAGGCCCGCCAAATGCAGGGCCCCCCTTTGGCCGGCGGAACAACATGTCACCGTCCGAGAAGGGGCTCTCGTCTAATATGACACGGCTTCCTCTCGTTCCTCGAAGCCTCGAAGCCTAGGCGTCATGGCTCCAACCCCCCCCCAAACCTCTCTCTCTCTTTCTCTTGCTCTCTTTTTGTTCCTCTTAAGAAGGCGGAAGTTCCTGAAGCTCAGGATTGATGTCAGAACACATGGCTCCGCACCGCTTGGCCATCCGACGATGCTGATAAAGTGATCTCCACTTTGGGGCAGCTTCCTGGCTCCCTCCTAGGAACAAGGGTCTGGTTCACACCAAAACCGGCCCATGGATGAGGCTTTGCATAGGGCACTGTCTGGGGTTCCCACTTGGGTCTTGAAACAAAGCTGCCCAACCCTTTCGAACCCCAGAGTCGAGCACTTTGCGAAACCTGCATGGCAAACCCATCACCTTGACCCCATGGCCGTCGCCGCGGAAAACACGGACCAAAGCCCTCAAAACAGCCCTCCCAAGGACATAAAAACATGAGCCAACCAAAAACAGCAGCAAACACCCTTAAAAAAAAAAAAAAAAAAAAAAAAAAAACGACTGTCCGACGGTCCCGGAGGCTTTTCGGACGACTTCCGGCTTCCGCCTCGTCCTGTCCCTCGGGGAAGCTGTCGGCCGCCATGGGCAGCACTGAGCTGCACATGTCGTGCTCCGCCACCGCCAGCGTGGCCTCCGGCGGCGCGCGACGCGGGAAGCGTCCGAAAAAGGAACCGGGAGATGGACAGGAGGTGTTGATCTTTGGTTCAGGGCTTGCCCATTGGGGCAACCCATTTTTGGACCGCAGGACTTTTTTGGTCCTTTCCACTTGACCAGGGCTTGCCCCATTTTTAGGGTCACCCTAATTACTTTTGACACCCACAGCCACATCCCCCTTCGAACACGATTGGCCGCAATGGGCCCCAAATGACCTTACCATTTGCCGGGGCAACCCATTTTTGCCAATGTTTGACACAGCCATTCGGCAGAACGTCTGAGACTGAGACTCACCCGAAACAAACTTTGGTTCAGGGAAACCAAAGGAGTGGTGTCCATGTTCAACGATCACTTTTGGAGGTTCCAAGAAGAAAAAAGTGGAGGAGGACACCTCCTTTTTGAGTCGGTACCAGTTGAAAAGCGGTTCGGGAAGCCAAAAGCAAGCCAAGCATTTTGGGCGGGGCCCGGATTTTGAGAACCCAATTCAGCAAACCTTTCTGGTTGTTTTTGGCTGGGGAATGTCCCCGCAACGCGGGAGCCCCAAGCCAAGTAAGCAAGTAGGATGGGTTTGACTGGGATCCGGGGTTCCGAGCACAGGTTTCCGGTTTACGATTGACTTGTTTACTTGAGAGTTGCTAACCAAAGGTGGGGGGGGATCGACACATGGTTAAGCTTACTGGGAGATTGGCTTAGGCCCAATCACCGAAGAAAAGCCCGTGCCTCCCAAAAATGGGGGAACTTGCGCAACCGCCTTGTGGGTGCCCGAAACGTGGAGAAACCCCCCTTTTTGTTGGTATCTGAAGGGAAACCCAAAGGAACCAACCATTGGGCCCAATCTTAAGGGGCCGATTCCTTTTTCTTGAGAAATACCCATGGGCTTCGCAGCCAAGGACACACAAAGCAGCACCCATTTCACACGTTTGGCTACCAAGACAGCGGTCGTTTCTAAAGGCCGCACTAAATCCCCCCCCCCCAAATCAAACAAATGCGTAGGAATCACATGTTGGCTGCTGGTTTCGATCGCTCGGCTCAACTGAAGCGCCCATGGTCCTACCAATATGCCTACTAAGGTTTATATATGCTTTACTATAATCCCAGCTAAACCCTCAAATGGCCGGGCTGGAGATCGGATGGAAAACACCCAACAGCGCTTCCACTCATTGAGTTCTGGGATCATGGGATCATCCAGAAATGGCTCACTCCGCCTTTGGTATTCCTAGAAACCAACGAAAAAGTCAGCTTCCCTCTGATTCGCTTTTCTTTCCCCTTTACCCTCTACGAGAACCAAAAACCCGTTCAAATCCCCGAAACCACCAATCCAAACCACCAATTACAAAGGATTTGGAAAAACAAATGGGTTGGAAAACAAGAAAACACGGGTCCCAAACCACCAATCCAAACACCAAGGAAGGGATACCTGGAGAAAAAAGTGCGTGCTCTCGATGCGCGAAGCGCGCCGAATTTCCCCCCCCCCCCCCCGCCTGGCCCTTACAGCCCACGGCGAAGGGAAACACCAGCCCCCGCTCATGCTGAAACCCCAGACCTTTCCGCACGTTCCTCAGCGAAGCGGATGGATAATCCCACGAGGCCGAAAACGGCATGGAGAGCCCTGCATTTCTTTTCTGCTTGTTGTGAGTGTGTCTTTAAAATAAAGAACAAGAAAGTAAAACCAGTGCTGATGTCCATGGCCAAAAAGGGTACCGTTTATTTGAGAAGGTTGCTTCGAAAGGGAAACCCTCGGAGGAAAAGCTCAAATGCGGGTCCATCCGCTTCTCGCTCAGGTTCCACGTCCCGGGCTGCCGGTCCAGCAAATAGGCATACTTGTCCAAGAGCGGCTCGAAAGAGAGCACGAAATCCCCCTCGTTGAACTCAGGGTAGTCCTGCACATTCCTAAGAGGCAAAATATCATTGAGCTCGATTTAGGTCAGCAACATGAAAACGAAACAAATGCAGGCCCCTTACTGTCCAATGATGACAAAAAATGGCAACCACGGCAAGTCACTGACAAAACTCTTTTCATTGGTTGTGTCTTTCTTAAAGTGACCCCAAAAAGTTGTGGCTTTCATGTTGGCTTCCCTGTAAAACCAAAAATAGTACCGATTCTCGCGAGGCTCATCTATGTGTCTTCGCCTAGCCACTGGCTTGGCTTCGGGAATGGCATATTTCTGAATTCGAATTGGGGACCTTTTGGTGGACATCGGAATTCGGTGCGGGTTCATGTCCAAGAATCCTTTCTGATACTGCTTGTCAGGATTCTCGATGCAAAAGCTATTCCCAAACAAACGGATGTGCTTGGGAACTCCAGACCAACACCCCAACACCCCAAGGCCCAACCCTTGGATTGGCTGTCCGCCTCGGAACCGAGAAGCCAAGACTCTGGATCCAATCAATACTGGGTCCCTCAAATTCTCACTCCAAGCGGTCAAGTTGGGGGACTCTCGCGAAGCGATCGAAAAGCGGAAAGAACGGGTCCAGATCTTTTTTGGGGCTTGTCTCAAAATCACATTTGAGGCGACCCCTAAAATGTCGAAAGCCACTTTAGATACTTTTCCAATTATAGCGGCCCACTAAACTGGGCTAGGTTCCCTTTGGCTTTCCTCTCAGCCAGACCCTTCCATTCAGGCTCTAACGTTGGTCCTTGTGGTGTCCCTTTAAACCAAGGGTAAACAACGGCGTACCTTCAAAAGACACTTGCCCATCTCAATGAAACTAGGGTTCCCTTAAAGCAAACAACGCCAACTGCACCAGTGCCGTCCCAGTCGCTGGAATCTGTGCGCGCCCACCTCGAGCCAGAATCGTCGAACCTTGCCATCCTGAAATACGGGGCTGGCTCGCCGACGATTCACTCCCTAAGTGGTGGCTTGGATTGGCGGTTTGGGGATGTGAACGGTTCAGTGGATATTGTGGAGCGCAACTGGGAAACCCACCCCTGTGCATCAAAACCACCAATCGTAAACCACCAATGAGGGGTTTCCTACAACCTGATTGTAACCGTGGCAACACTGGAATGAGACCTGAGCAAAAAACTAGCTTCAAGCAGAAATAGTTTTGAGGGCGGATTTTTCAGCCACTGTGTCAACCATTTAAAACCATCCAATTAGGAACACCCGGAAATGCACTCAAAACAACCAAGAACACCTGTTTAAACAACCTGTCCCGAAGGGGACCAAGGTGTGATTCTTGAGACTCGCGGAAAACCAAAAGATGAACCAAACTCAAGGGTCACTGGATTTTGATTTCCCTTCGAAAGTTGCAATTGACTAGCGGTTTTCCTTGAAACGATCGTCACTTTTGGAGGTTCCACCCCACGCCTTCACCTTGGCGAAGTTCTTGTCGAATGGCAGCGCTGCAACCTGAATCGACTCGGAACCGGGACCGGCTTAGACCAACAAAACTCCACAAGGGTTTGTCTCAAAATGGGGGCCACGCCCCATGTGGTCGGCTTTCGTTTCGATTTTGTCAAAAACTGACCCTAGAAAGGGGGAACCCTCAAAAAAGGCACCTACACAGCATTGACTGGCCACTCACCCTGCCACTTTGAGCCAGAGTTTTCACCAAACACATGGGCTTCGGTTCACCTGGCTGTTCTTTTTGCGGCCCAGCCATTGGAGCTGATCAACTCAAAAAGATTGACACTCTCCGCCCCGAAAACCGGCTCCGCGGAAAGCGATTTGACGGAGCTCTTGGGGCATCAAACGAGGGAATCGTCGCACCAAGCGAGGCCTGCGAAGGATTGATTTGGGTATGTGCCAAATTGGGACCCCCAAAACCAGATGGCTTTCTGGTTGTTTCCCTTTAATACCAACCTGGTGTTAGGGGTACCGAGCCTCAAAAACCCGACCTCCCTTGTGAACAACAACAGGTTCATTTCAGCCCACCTGGATCTCCGCATAGATGCCGTCAGCGTCTTCCCGCCAACCACTGCTTAAGCCGTGCACTACAGGAACTGCCCACCAGGGCAGGATCATGTGAGTCCTAATCAAAACCCGGAAATAAAATCGTCTACCCAGAGCCATGTAAAGAATTAAGAAGGCGGTCGCAGCTATTTATGGTTGGGATTGTCCCTCACTAACCTTCATCTACCCGGGTTTTGATTGTGGCTCATGTGAACACACCGGAACGGCTTTCAAATGTCAAATGTGACCGTAGCCAAAGATACCCTGCGTTCGGAAATCCGTTAACCCCTTTCGACCAACAAAAACATCCTCAAAGGGTACCAAAGGACATCTCTTGGAAAGATATCTTTGCTTTTTGTTTGCTGTTTCTGTTGTTGTTGCTTCTTTATGTTTCTGCTGTTGTTGCTTTCTGTGTTTGTTTTGGTTGTTTTGTTTGTTTTTGTTTGTTTGTTTTTGGGGGGGTATGAAGGACAGCCATTCAGGAGTTCCAAGAAGCTCGATTGTTTTGCCCTGGCTCATTGCAACACCTCCAATGGGCGAGCAGACTGCTTTCTGTATCACATTACCTTTACAACCCTTGCTATGCTGGCAGAAAGCGTAGTTTTTGTTGCTGCCCCTTACAAAAAATACACAGACACCAAAAACAACTTAAAAACTTGGCAACCACAGTGAAGTTATGGATGGACAAAATCCTACACTGGCAGGTAGCTCATCCCAGTAGTCAAGTTTCATCCATAACTGGCGCTTGGATTTTGTCAGATCAAATGTGTATCCCAAATGCTCAAAGCAGCTGTAGAGCTTACACCTGTGAAACGGACCAGTCCAGCGTCAATTGCAACATGTGTGCAGTTTTGCAACGCTTGGTCACCTGGTTTGACGCTGAAGGCTTTTCAAATGTCTGTCGTCCTTGTGTGCAAGTGCTGGAAATCAAAAACGGGACAAAAAAGCCAAGCAGTAGCACCCGCGCCGCGTCAATTCTCGATCCAAATGGCTTCTGTGATGCATCCCCCCCAAAAAAGGAAGCGCCCTGCCCACTTTGGTAAATCCATGAATCAACTACTCCCAAAGGCAAATCAACCGGAAGGAACCCCTTTTGAGAGGGGGTCGCCTGAAAGGTCGGACTTGGTTTGCCTCGCAATCTGCTGATCTTTGGGGAAGCGACCAAACAAATTGGGGAGAGCTGGCCAAACAAGTCTCGGTGCGACACAAGGCGATCCGCGCTTTTGTGGGGCCAAAGGCAGAAACTGGGAAGCAGGCCATTGAGGGTCCAAGGAATCGCAAGTCTGCAGTCGCACTTTCACTAAAGCAAAAGTGGGAGTTCCTCCTGAGTGAAATCTCTCGCACCTTTCGTCCCCTGGAAGTGTGCAGGCTCCCTTCTCAACCCGAAACCGGCTTTCACGAATGTGCTCCCTAAGGCGCCGTTGCGCGAAACCAGGTCAAGGAGCCACTGAGATATGGCAACTAGCTTTGTCAACCCAACGGAAATGTCCTGCTTAAGGACGTGCTTCAAAAAGTTTGCCAATGACAATGTCCAATGGTTGCTTGGAATGGGTTGCATACCTCAGCGCCCCACGGAACGTCTCAAATCTCCTCGTGCTGAATTTGACAGGGCCACCTACCAGCCCCATCTGACATCAGACCCAGCTGCGCAATCCGCTCAGTTTTCATTCACACTCACATTCCAGACTAGCCATCACAAGCTTTTGGAGTATACCTTAGGGTCAGGCATAAGTTTAACCTGCTCGAGCGAGCAACTGCAACCCAGTGTCTTGTTGCAAAGCGCTTGACTTCCACCATGCTTGGCTCAAACCTGAAAGAAACTCCTTGCTCAAGCCTTAAAGACCAGACCAAACTCTTGTTTTTCCGTGGCCCTTACCTCCTTCACCACCCAGAGCGCTGCTCTTTTTCGAGGGCATTCACGTGTCGCCCAAACTTGCACAGTCAGCAAGTTTGCGTCACTCGCAAGCTGCAAACCCGCCCCACAGGTTCATTCGCTTTGAAAACTTTCCTCGGGGCAGGATTTCCCCCCAAGTTGGTCAAGTCACTTTTGATTTCCCTTGAAACGATCCCCACTTTTGGAGGTTCCCTTTAAAGAGAACTGACTTGGAAACCCTGCTCTTTCCACTTCTGCTTCTCCCCTACATCACCTCTCCGCATATCCGAGCCGCGGCACGCTTGCCAGGGCTTTTGCCTTAGCGGCGGCCTTCGCTGCACGGGCGGCCTCGGCCTTCTTCTTGGCTTGAAGCTTGGCTTCCCTGAGTTCTTTGGCGCTCTCCTTCGCGTGGCCCAGGGAGACGGTGGTCATGCCGCTCTCCCCGTACCTCGAAGTGCCCAGCACTTCCATGAGCCATTGGCCAAGCGAAACACATGGATCTGTATGTTTGCATACATACACATATATATATATATTATAGATATATGCATATGTATGTATACATATACATATAGATATATTTTTGTATATGTATGCTTTGAAGCATGCAGGCACACATGTTCGTTCAATTCATCCTTTCTATTCCCCTCCCCCCGCCCCTTATCCCTTTCCATTCTCCGCCTCCCCACGTTCTTTCCCTCCCCTCGCTCCCAGCGTGCGTACATTTGTCTATATATATATATAGATACATATATGTAGGTATAGATGCACGCACATATGATGATACATATACCCATGTAAATATTGCTGTATCGCATGCCCACAAAACCTGGGGGTCAGCAGGTCACTTAGTGCAGCAAAAATTCCGTCACTTAGTGCAGTCAGAACCCAAGTGTTAAACAGGTCACTTGGTGCAGCAAAAAACCCGTCACTTAGTGCAGTCAGAACCCAGGTGTTAAACCGGTCAGTTCAATAAAATCAACGGGCCCAACGCGCTCCATGGGCTCAACACGCCCAATGCGCTCAATGGGCCCAACGAACTCAACGGGCCCAACGCGCCCAACAGGCCAAACGGGCTCAACGGGCCCAACGGGCTCAACGGGCTCAACGGGCCCAACGGGCCCAGCGGTCCCAACGACCCCGGCGGGCCCAACAAGCCCAACAGGCCCAATGGGCCCGACGGGCCCGACGAGCCCAACGGGCTCAGCGGGCCTACGTTGCGCTACATTACATTACATACATACACTACATACATCGCATTACCCACATAACATAACATAACAAAACATAAAACAAAACATAACATAACATACACACATTACAAACATACATGCATACATAAATTACACATATTACATATATTAAACACATACATACATACATTCATACATACATACATACATATATATATATATATTATATACATACATACATAACCTACATACTTACGTACATAGCATACATAACATACATAACATACATACAGGCATACATCACATTGCACTACATTACGTCACATTACATTACATTACAAAACATACATAACACTACACACATAATAACATAACAAAACATAACATAACATAGCGCAGCGTAAAAAAACATAACATAACATAACATACATATATACATGAAGTTTACCCCATATTCATTGTTCCAAAAAGAGTCTTCCGCCTCGCCCTTCCGCGAACCTTCCGCGAACTTCCGCGATGCAGGTAAAACCACACTTTTTGGCACGTGTCTAAACACATGTAAATGCTTGGAAAGGAAAAGTAAAGCGAGCCAAGACGAAGAGCCAGAGCAGGGGACATAACATAACATAACATACATACATACATACATACACGTACACACGCATACATACATTACATACATACTCACATAACATACATACATACGTACATAGCATACATAACATACATACACACATACACGACGTTGCATTACACTACATTATGTTACATACACAACACTACACACTACATACATTACATACATACATAACATAACATACCATACCATACCATACCATAACATACCGTAAGGTACCATTACATTACATTACATTATGTTACGTTACATTACATTACATACATACATACATACATACACACATACATGAATGCATGCATGCATACAAACATACATACATACATACACATATCATATACGTACATAAATACATACATACACAACACAACACAACGCAACGCAACGCAACACAACGCAACGCAACACAACATACATACATACATACGTACGTACGTACATACATACATTACATACATACATACATACATACATACATACATACATACATACATACATACATACATACATACATACATACATACATACATACATACATACATACATACATACAACATACATACTTACGTACATTGCATACATAACATACACAACATACATACACGCATACATCACATTACATTACAAAACATACATAACACTACACAAATAATGTGATATAATAACATCACATAACATAACACAGCACAGCGTAAAATAGCATACATAACACAACATACATATTATGTATTCGTGAGCCTTGTTCCAAAAACAGTCTTCCGCCTCGCCCTTCCGCGAACCTTCCGCGAGCCTTCCGCGAACCTTCCGAGATGCAGGTAAAACCACACTTTTGGCACGTGTCTAAACACATGTAAGTTCTTGTAAAGAAAAGTAAAGCGAGCCAAGACGAGCCAGAGCAGGAGGTTCAGCGGTCCGAACGGGCAGGCCCCACGGGCCCAACGGGCACAGCGGGCTCAACGGTCCCAACGGGCCCAGCGGTCCCAACAGCCCAACAGGCCCGACGGGCTCAACGGGCCACACGGGCTCAACGGGCCCGTGAAGGTGAAAGTGACTGCCGCACTAAGCGACAGGATTTGCGCCGCACTAAGCGACAGGATTTGGACCGCACTGAGCGACCGCCTGACCAAACCTGGGTTTTCATTTGGTAGACCAAGCAAACAATGGAAAGCAAGCTCAAGCAAACAAAGCTTTGCTTTTGTCAGCTTGACTTTTTGCCTTTCATGAGACCAACAGTTATACTTGCTTACGTGTTTATGTTTCCAAATAGCAGAAAAAGACTGAAACTGACAGACCTAGAGTCATGGCCCTCTTTACTAGTTTTACCACGCAGAAAAACCCCGGCTTAACAAAGCAAAACCATATTGGTGCTAAGCCAACACAAAGTTAACATTGAACGGATGCTAAGGCAGCTTTACTGTTTTACTTTTCCCGGTAAATGCAAAAACAGAAAAGTAAAAACCTTTGACCCATGAAAAGTAGAAAGTAAAACTGCCTGAAGTACAACAAGTTTTACTTTTGACGGTTTTACGTTTTGGTTCACTTTTACTTTTCCCAAGTGAGCCGTGCCGAATACTCTTGTGTCAAAAGCAGTACCGGTACTACAAAACTTGCTTTCGCGAACCCTTTCGCGAAGCTTTCGCGACCCCATGTTTTGCTTTCACAAACTTCATTTTCTTTAGAATTGCTTTCACGGCGCTTTCGCGGCGGACTTTTTCAAACACACCCATTGGACTGCATGAGCTCAGAAGCTGCAAACTCCTTTTGACGGTGGCCATTGGCCTTTCAAAAGCAGTGCACCCCAAATGTAAGACTGTGTAAAACAACCCCCGCTCATCAACACGCAGGGCGTTCGCAGGGCTTTCGCAGGGCTTTCGCAGGGCTTTCGCGGCGAGAGCTTCTTTGGGCACTTTCGCGATAAGTTCTCGCTTTCGCTTTCGCGGCCTGGGTTTTGGCTTACCCTTTACTACTTTGTATTGCCAGGATAAATTGGCGCTGCTCAAGTAGACGTATATGTCTAAGGTAGAACTTCTGGATGGAAAAGCAGAGAGTAAAATGGCTGAAGCGAAGCAAGAGTTCTACTTTTCGGAGTTTACTTGTTCACCTGTACGTTTATGCGGAAAAAAATCCTGATATAAGATGAAGTGCTTTGGGAGTTGTACGTTTGTGCTTTTACTGGGGAAAGCAGATGCAAAACTCCTTTTGCATCCTTTTCATGGTCTTACGGTTCAAACATGTTTACATTCAGTGGAGAAATGGTAAAGTAGAAAACTCCTGGAAGCTTGACATCTCGTGAGCCTCTAGGTCTTGGAGAAGAAATCATATATATATATACATATTCAGATGTATGTCTATAGATTTATATATATATATATGTGAAACATATGTATCTCCGATATATATATATATATATATATATATCTGAGTGTATATGTGTATATATATATATTACATACACTGATATTCCCAGACTTCTATCTTATCCCGAGGCACGTGAGCTTCACCTCCGTGTCAGCTGTGAGGCCGCACCGGGGCCAGGTGCGGTTGCAGGGCAGGCCCTCCCAGACGAACTCGCCCACTGTGTTCTTGATGAAGACCTCCGGAGCTCCATTTTTTGGACTGCCCCAAGGTAGACGTAAACCTAGGCAACCAACCATGGGTTTTAAGTCCACTTTGGGGTTGTCCTCCACTTTGGTCATTTGCTTCTTGATTTGGCCCCGTGTCTCTAAGCAGACTGGGGCCCCCTAAATGGGTTCCTTCTGGTTTCCAACGTTGAAGAAAACCAAAAGGGGAGACCACGCTCATGTTGCTTGTGTCAAGATTTCTCTGTACAACTCAGATGGAGACTTCGGTTTGGTTGTGCTTCATAGTTCTGCCTCGAGTGTGTTGGGCTAAAAACATGTAAACATATCATGCAGACCTCACTTTCTTTTTGGGCTTGTTTCTTCGATGTTGTTCATGTGTTGGCCTTTTGTTCGTTGTACTTGATGTGCTAATGTAGATTCTGAGACTGTCCGCGTATTTCTCCAGGTGTCTTCGTGTGCTGACGATGTTTATGGATTTACATGTAAAAAAAGAATGACCATCTCTTCTGCTTCGGGCACATACAAATCAAATGAAGACCTCTCTTTTGGTTCGGTCGTAAAGATTGAACAAAAACATAACTTTTCGCAAGACAAATCCACTGAAGACAGTCTTGGATTCTTGCTCCATGCTTTTTTGGCGAGGGACCTCAAAAAACGTAACTTTGATTCTCCGAGGAGACGGAGATCTGTTCTTTGTTCCGAGCGATTTGCCTTTTTTGGCTGGGACCCTTGCGGAGGAACATGAAATAAGAATGCTGTGAGTTTCATAAGTACGGAGCCCTCTTGCAGCAGTCTCCGTCTGCTGAGGCAGAGCTAGTGGATGTGTGCGTGTGTCGCCTGGTTGGTGGATACTATCTAGCCATGTCGTTCACAGAGCAAGAATGCCAGCAGCAAACAGAAAACATTGCCACTCCGCATGAAAGCAGCTTGAGGTTCTTGCTGAACAAGGCACAAGTGGACACCAATGGTACCATTTTGGGGTAGGTGCACCACCCGTTTAGTGGAGATTGGGATGTTCACCGGGGTAACATTTGGATTTTAACCCATGGCCACCTCATTTTGTGGGATCCCCTGTTTTGCGACACCCAAAAAACAACAAACCCTCTGTGTCCGACCTTGAACTGTCCACCAGGCGACGGCATCGGGATCCTGTCCTTCCAAACCGGATACCTGCGCGGTGGCAAAACAAAAAGGCCAGGACAATTGGCGGCTCAAAGGCTCAGCATCTGGGTCCTGCCTTCCCAACCAGACATGATGAGCAAGCCTGTGTGATTCTCTGGGGTTCTTCAAGCTTCTTTGGACAAACGAACAAGCGAGGATACGGAGGGAGCGGGGATATTGGGGGATTCCCTTGGCGCCATTTCCCACATCAAACTTAGTCAAGGTGCATTTAGGGGGAATCCTTCCGTATCCCTGGTTCTCCCCTGTATCCCTGCTAGTTGGCTTCCCCGTTTTCTGTGGGTTGCAGCCTCATCGAACATCTTGCACGAAGCGAACCAAACCGAGGCGCGACTCGGGCGAGGTGTTGAGATACCAGGACTGCTGGGGGTTCCAGCTGCCTCGGCCAAAGAAAAGGACGCCATGACCCCGTAATTTCAAGTGGATAAATAGATAGATAGATAGATAGATAGATAGATAGATAGATAGATAGATAGATAGATAGATAGATAGATAGATACACAAATGGATGACTGGATGGATGAATGGAGGAAGGAAGGAAGGAAGGAAGGAAGGATGGATGGATGGATGGAAGGATGGATCAAAGTATTAGAATGTGACAAATAAGGTACACTGTCTCATGTGATCCCAGCTCTTCAAGTCCTGAGAGCTTAGCTCTCACTGGACTTGGGGAAAGGAGGCGAAACGGTTCGCCTCGGATACGTGCGAGCCATGCGTGTGGCCTTTCAAAAGTCTGTGAATTACGTATCTGCATACGTGTACCTCTAAAAATGAGTGTTGACAGGTACAACTTACTGACACCCAAGTGTGGATACATGGAAAAGTATGCACGGCATTTTACATGCCTACCTTCGTATTCCACCTTCATACTTGGCCATGGGGCATAGCCCATGGCTCCATTATGGGGTGGGTGAACATCCATTTGCCATTTATTTTGATGTTCACCAGGGTACAGGGTTTCGACCCACAACCACTTGTCAAAAATGAGTTCCCAAACTGGAACCCTCGTAAATGGAACCCAGGACTAAAACCTGAGGTCCCCTGGTGGTTTAAGTTTGACCCACACCCATATTCCATCTTATACTTGTCTGCAGACCGCAAAGAACCGAAAAGCCGTCTCTCTCAAAAGGTGGAAGTGGGACGCGGGCCCAACTGCCAGTCGGAGCCGCTGATGGCCACAGCCTGAAATCGCTGAGAGGGTGTCACATGGCTATGGGTCCAAATCCAAAGCCCGTACCCCCAGTGAACATCCCAATCCAACCACTAAAATAGGTTCTAAACTGGGTATCACTGGTTTTGACCCACAGCCACATGCGCCAGATCAAAACCGATCGGTATTAGATGGTCGACCCAGCATGTAAAGAAGTAAAGGGCGGAGATCCGCAGCTTTCCCGGTCTTGCTTGCTCACTTGAACTCTCATGGGTCCAAAGGACCCTTTGGTGGACTTCAGCATTCGGGGATTCGTGTCCAGCACTTTTGAGGTGGCAATGAGTCAGTTCAGGACATGGCACACTGATGAGGAGCATTAAATTTGTCTCCTTTGCAGGATCAAGGCCTTTCCTAACTAGAAGGCCAACGAGTTGAAGTGATTGCTGTGTAGATATGATGAGCAACCCGGGCCCTTTCGTAATGGGAGTCCGACAACAAATATCAACTCCAGCTCACCTTATTTCGATGATCTACATGAGTTGTCAGCACTTTGCTTCTGCATTCTTTCTAAACAAAGGTATGTGCAACGATTCAATTTGTTGCTGTCTTCTTTCTTGGCTGGCAGGATTCTTAACTCTTGGGATCTACTTATCTTGACAAGGGGACTTTTTGGGGGGGTAAGTAAAGGCCAGATAGACCAGAGCAAACCGACCTGGCAAGATAGGCCTCCACCCATGTCCAGAGCAGTATTGTAAGCGGACACGACCTGAAACGATGTGTGATCAATCCTACCGGACCTCACAGTACGCGAGCATGTCTTTTTCTTGACAGCCTTTGGATCCGGCAAAGAACTGAAGGGAAACAACACCCACCTTGACCCATGGGGGCCCTTGGGACTGAAGCGAAACCACCTTGGGGGGGTTCGTCTGGCCTAAACGACGCAAGTTTCCGGTCATGGCCTGCCTCCTCCGGCTGAGTCTCGCAGCGGACCTCGATGCTGATGTAGGCTTCCTGGATAAAATAATTGTTTCAACCTCTGAAATTGCCTTGGTAGATACCTCCTGTAGGTGTTCCTCCGGTATTTGAGAGAACCAATTTAGCTGTTCTTTGATGTGGACTTCTCGGATCAGTGCAAATATCAGGTGCAGATGCGTTCCAGTCACGTTGGAAGTTCCGAAAGAAGCCTTTCGTTGGGGCGCCTGGAGCAGGAAACCTGTCCAGCTCGCTCAATGCGGCTCGGGCATGCCAGACTCGCACATTCAGCTCGGATACTTTGGGCAAAGCGGGCGAACTGAACAGGTGGACCAGCCTCTCTTTTTTTTCTTTCTGGGGGGGGGGGGTGGTAAACAGTGTTCACCCGTGACCATTTTGGGTTGAAATGTCCCTGTGTCATGGGGTGAAGATCCAGCACAGCCTGCCACAATAAAGGTCACACCAGCATGCATTTTATTTCCACTAAACATTGCATTGGCTCACCTCTGCACCAGACACGCAACTCTGAAGCCCTGCTAGGCAACCGGCACGCACACTCTTATCTTGCCTAACCTACCATCATGCAAGTGAAATTTCAGGCTCCTATCCTTTTGAATTGTCCATGCCTTTGGTTGACTTTTCCATGCCCATTGATTGGGGCTCAGCCGGATTCTCAGCCAAAGTCTGACCACGCATCCTCCTGCTCCTCAGGCTCGCTCTCCTCATAGAGGCCTCGGACCGTCAGTTCCGTGCCAATCCGCCGGTAGGTGAATGGTTGCTTTTGAGGGAACCCGGAAAAAGTTGGACCGTCAGTTTCTGGGTGCCAATTATGGTTCTCATTGAGGCTCGGTGAACCCAACTTGGGGGTTCCGCCATTTTGAGACAGACCCATCTTGTCCGTCTTCCCCACCCGGCAGTTCGACAGGACAAGCCTGTAGATTGCGAATGACTTCCGACCTGGTCACCTCCACCAGCTGGACCATAGTGCTCCATGTGCAGTCAGATTGACCCTTTGGTGTGTATTCTAATTAATTCAGCAAACTTCTTGGGGATTCGCAGTGAAGCAACTTGGTGAGTTGCCTGTAGCAAACTTCTCTGCCAAGAAGCCAACTTCACAGGAGCCGTTCGGCGCCACTGGCTGCTGGACCACCAAAGGCCTGTGCGTGTGGCAGCTCCTGGGTTTGCGGACAAAGACTGCCGAAATAAAACATGTGTATACATAGCATGTATGCAATTATCTTTGTGGGCATATATATATATATATATATACATACATATATCATATGAGTTCAAATGTGTATATATATATATATATATATATATGTATCGCAGCATATGTATGTACTACATACACAATATGATACGCGTAGTCTACGCCATGTTTATGCATGCATACCAATGCGTTGTATAAATATATAGATGGATGTGTGCCTACACAAACATAATGTGCAGTGCTGTCTATGTATCTACAAATTGCATCCATAGGTGGCCCTTGGTTGTGCTAAAGTTTAACCAAAAAGGAAAACCACGTGTTGGGGTCCCTAAGAAATGACACACCCACATATATATATATATATATATATATATATATATATTTATACATACTGCGGATGGACGAAATCCTGCACCACTTTGAAGCCATGGTTGAAACCATACCCTTGGTTGGCATTTGCGTTGAGGAATCGAATCATTCCGTTGGGTGTCTTAGAACGGTGGTGCGAGAAGCGGATTTTGCCACCATCCACAGTATGTGTATATATGTATATATCCCAAAAAGACAGAAAAAAAAAACTGCACATTCCAATGAATTCTAAAGGAAGGTAGAATTCAAAGGGGGGGGTACTACATATATATAAATATATATGCATATATAAACGAAATCCACACGCCCTTCCATCTTCGAAGAGTTTTGGTGCCTCGATTCTGCCGGTGGGGCCGGTCGCATGGCACCAGACGCGCTCGGGGCCCAAAGGCCTTCGCCGTAGCTTTTTCTGGAGTCGTGCTTCCTGATGCTAATGTGGATGGAAGCCATCCGTACTATGTGTCTCTACATATGCATATATAGGCTTCCAGTATGCATATAGGTGATATACATATTTGTTTGTGTTGCGTGCTCTGGTATACCTCACTCATAGACTTTCTTGAGAGCATTCCAGCACAGATGAATGGAACACAGAGGCTTTTGCATTTTTTCGCATGCTATAGCAGCTTCTAATACGTCTCTGGAATATTCTGGAAAATCTACCAAATGTGTTGCATCGTTTGAAACAATCCGGCATTCGATAGAACATTCCGCATACTTCAACAGCGCAATGCAAGGCGAAGATCGGCCGCCATGGGTTCCTTGGAAAAATCCCCGTGGCACTGAGTCAGGCTGAGTCCCGAGTCGAAAAACGAAAAAAGCCGTCGAAAATGGATTGAGTCTGTGAGCCACAGCAATCGGCGAACGGACTCCGGAGATGGCTCACGCGAATCTACTGCACTAAGTTCTTGGGAGGGCTTAAATAAGCCAGAAAGCTTTCGGGCTCAAAACCATGTCAGGAAGGTGCCACTCTCTCACATCACCGGGCATTCAGCTCACGCATGGCACACCTCACTCCCGATTGCATCTTACAGTACGTACAGGGGTATGTAGACCTTTGCGACACAATTGGGGGGGGTAACAACCATGGCAACTAAAAACGGCAACTGGAATTGGCCCAAAACCCTCAGCAATTCTTTGAAACCCCATAGCCACAAACGATAGGGAGAGAGAACCGCGGAAAAACAACCCACTTTATTGAACTTCCAGTGTCTTGACATGTCCGCTCCCAATGGATCACAGGGCCACAAGCCTACCAGGCGTGTCAACTGTCGGCATGCAAATGGGTCCAAAACATGTGGTTTTCCGTGTTTCCCTTCACTCCAAGGGGTTCCAACTCCAAGAGACCAAGGCCACATAGGTGTGGGTGAGTGTGCGTGTCCTTCGAGGCTCGGTATCCTTCAAGTTGGAGATCAAAACAGGCCATTCCTTGGGTCCCTAGCGCACCATGGGTCTTTTTTGAGGGTACCCCCTTTTTTGGTGGCTTTAAAGGGGAACCGAAACGAAAACCGTCCAACCTCCAAAACGACGAGCCCACATCCGATTCTTATCTTTTCGCCATTGCTTGGATCTTTGGATTGGCGAGCTATGCGCCGCAAGGGGCAAAGGGGCCATCCTCTTGACAGCCCCAGCCCAAGCAACCCTTGACCTTACTCCACTTTCAGAAGCTACTTGAACTGTGAAAAAAAGGCGGCCAGAGCTAGCGGCAAGCTCCAAACTTGCAAAGACTTTGTCTCCGACGTTGTTGGATACGAAGTTGACCACGGCTCATCCCCAGTGCATACCTTAGACGCTGGTACATCTAAGACCATGCAATACACATATCACGTCTTGCTTGGCCTCTGGCAAGTAAGTCTCCTGACTGCGTTGTTTTTTCCCCTCGTGATTATTGGCTGGAGCGATTCATTCTGCGAAATCCATAGCTTCGGTCAAAGTTACTGGCTGGCAGAGCTCTAAATGGCGCACAAAACTTAGGGGGACTAGTGGAAGAACCCGTATCATTTCCATGAATACAAATGTGTGTGTGGTGTGCGTGTGTGAGTGCGCGGGTGGGGGTCCGTGTGCGTGTCCGTGTGCGAAAAGTAGGCTTTCTTCGAATTTCGATCTTCTTCCTCTCAGACACTCTTTCTATAGAAGCCCTATCTTTCTTTCTCGACTCCCAAGTCCCCATCTGTTTATCCTTTCAAAATTTTGCCTCCCACCTTAGAACCTCCCAATCATGATAAGGTCAAGGTGAAAGATGCCTGATGTTTGCGCTGGGAGGCAAAACTCCAAAACCACAGCGGAGGCGCTTGGCAATCAGAAGACGAACACTGATAGTAAGCCCTCCCGGTTCCGGCATAGTTCCCGAAATCCTCGTTGTAGCAGCATTGGCATGCTGGAAAACTGTGAAACGATGTCTGTATGACGTTGTTGGTCCAGCGCGGATCGGCTGCAGCTGTGCAGACACGTCCGCACAGCCAAGGAAATTCCTGCAGATACAGCAGGTGGCGGCACGCAAACTCTTGCCAAGAGCATCAACGATATGGGTGTTTCTCAAAATGTGAATGCAGGACCCCCTTTTGGTTGCTATTCAAATGTACCTAGCACACTCCACAGGCAAAGCCAGTAAGCAACCAGACTTGATGTACGATTCCTTTCACTTTACGTGGGTAAGCAAAGGGGATAGCTAAACCACAAATTGTTCTACCATCTACTTTCACCCACCTGTACCTGCTTGTGCCGGCCTGCATTTTGGCTCCGCTGTGAAGACCCTCTTCAGGATTCGCTTGTGTTATTTCCCGAAGGAGCACGCAAGACTTGCTCAGAGTGGAGTAACCTCAGCATGCGCCGAATTCACATCAGCTCAGAATCAATGTAAGCATCATAATTGGGGGGAACCTTTTCCCCTGGTTTGAACAAAGCAGAACGACCAGTGTTGGGGTCCCCATTCTGAGACATAATCAATATGGATGCGCAGGATTGGTCAATCAAATCTTTGAAGAAGCCACTGCTGATCAAAGCTTTGACAATCCTTTTTCTTGCCAGGAGCAGATGCAAAGACTGGGGTGCCAAGCAGCCGTACGCCACAGCTGTGGCAGAATTCAACAACGACGCTTCACAGGCATCTTGGGAAGCACTCGAAGTCACCGATTCCTCCGCTTGATTTGTGTTCTCACCACAAAAACGCAGTCGAAAAAACACAAACGGCCCACACGGGTATGCGTTTTCAATCTGCTTCTCACATGAGCAGATTCAAAACCATTGATTTTAGGCTCCACCTTTACGAAACCGAGCAGAGCCAAAGAAAAAAAGGATTGCCAATTGGAATCGGCTCTTGCGCACTCACCTGCAACTCGGCTTCAACACACTTGAAAAAATGTTGCGTCGCTCCAAGATTCAGCTGCGTTTCCGAAGCTAGTATCGCTCTTTCGGATCACAGGATCGCTGTTGGACTCCTCAGATCTTTTGGATCGAAAGGCACTTACTTTCTAAGGGTTGCTTCCCCCTGCTCTTCACTCATCGCTCTCTTGAAAAACCATTCAAATTTGACGAGATTGATGCCTGAAGAGAATGGAAATAAAAGGTACAGCAAAATTATGAGAGCCCCGAACTATCACAAGAATAAGTAGTTGAAAATAGAAACATCGCAGTTGGAAGGAATGAAAGGCAAGGGGCGCCGCGCAAAAGGATGAAACTCGACACGGAGCATCCGCAGTTTAGTGGTGCATCTGTTGTCGTGATCGTCCCAATCGGCCCATCTGCTGCGGCCAACGTTCCCGTGAAGGCAACTGACCATGGCACCGCTGAGACACCGCCACCCATCCCTCAATGGGTGTGCGTTTTGTGTGGGATCCCCTCAAAGGAAGCCATAAGGGATGGTTCAGTTTTTCATTCCTTTCCCTACCTATGTGTGCGTGTGTGTTTGCTGTTTCCTCCTTGTGGCCCTTGTCGCTGCTATGGTTCATGATGACGCTTGCAGGAGAAAGCGCTTTCTGTGACACACAGCATGCAGTTGCATCTACCGGTGAAAATGGGGGAATACACACGGCAGGAGCATTCGATCTCAAGTCTACACTGACAGCGGCTGCTCGATCAAAAAGGCGAATCGTTTCTTCTTTTCAAGCTCGAAACACGTCGAAAAATATTTTCGTCCAGCAAACACCACATCGTTTTTTGCAACCCGGGGCCACTTCTGTGCCTTTTGCTTTCAGCTTCAGGTTTCACCCAAAGTCCGCAGGCTCGTTTTGAGGTCCGCCAAGTTTCTCGAACAGTTGGCGGGGCCCGGTCAGCTCCGAATGGTCACAAAGCAACCAAAAGCGTAGTTGCCATTCCACGCAGTCTAGGCACGCTGTTCTCCACGTTGGCGTTGCTTGCATGCGAACCAATTGGGGCATTCTCAATCACAGTGTGTAAGCCCATCCGCCGTGCCTGTTGCACATTGCGCAGCAAGCTCAATAGCACCGGCCCCGGTGACAAAGGGGTGACTTCTTTGGTGACAAGCTCAAAAACAGAAATAATTAGGGGACTAGAGGACTATGTTCCTTACTACTCCCGTGTTCACTGAGATCATAAACGAGGCCTCCGGCGCGACGTTGACGCTCACGACAAAGGGTGAGCCGCTCGCAAAGAGTGCGTCTTGGAGCTCCAGGTGGAAGGCCAGGTCGTGGTCCTGCCCCCTTGCGCCGTAGTAATTCATGGTGCGGCCGGGGAAGATGTAGGGAGGGTCAGCGTAAATTTGCTGGGGTGCTGGGCAGCGCTCGGTTGGCCAGGCGCCGCACGGTCGCCCGCTCGGGGGCAGTGGCTGCTCTGCCGTGCGAAGGAGCCCCACTTTCCTGAGCAGCAGGGCGTACGCGCAGGCCGCCCGGCGCCCGGCAGGGCCTCCGCCCGCAAGACAATGCGTGTTCTTGCAAATGATTGCAGGGCGTGGCATGCGTGCCCAAGGTCCGGAGACTGAATGGTCCGGAGACCAGAGTTGGTCGGAGACCTGGTCCGAGACCAAGAGGTCCGGAGACCACCAACGAAAGTGCAGAGCGTCTGCGACCTATGCTTGCAGAGCCTTGTATAAGGCAGTGCAGGGTGGGTGGGTGGGTTTCAAATGAAACCGCAGGTTTGGGTCAAGGCTAGGAGCAAAACGGCCACCGCTAGTTCGATTCACAACATGCCCTAAACACAAGAAAAGAAACCCTAAGCGTTAAGGCATGTTGCACTGCTCCTTGCTTGAACCCAAACATGAACCCCCAACAGAACAAAGCAAGTCCGAAGCGGCCGCAGTTCTTTTTACTGGGATTGCTGAAAGTAGCACTGCTTCGAGGGCACTGGTGCGCCTGAAACAGGAGGTGCGTTGACCCCCCTTCAGTGTTTCAGGCAACCCCGGTATAAGCGAGCCAGCTGGGCCGCCGGCCACCCGCCCTTCAGAGTGGGGGTGTACCTGGCAGGGCAAGTGTCCGCGTCAATGCACGCTTGCGGCTGTGCAGCCTGTTGCTCAGGGTCTGCACTTTTTTCGGTAGCGGCTTAATGTAAGCGGCTGGCTGACGCAGCCAGTTGTTCTGGCGACAGGGCGAAGACGGCCATTTGGTCGCAATGCATGTTGGGATGCAAATAAGGCTGGCTATGCCTTGGCTTGACATTGCTAGGCCCGCAGGGCTGAAGCGTATGCGACTTTCAGGGCGATGGCTGAATCGGGCGGGACATACGGGCCGTATGGCCTTGCCTTGTCAAGCCTGAACAGCGGTACATTGCATGTTCGAGACGCTGGCACAGTTAGCACTACTGCAAGCAACCCACAGCCACATTGGTGGTGGGCGCTACTCGTTCAGCATGCCTTCAGGCACGGACAATTCCGCAACGGAAGCAAGCCTTAACAAGTTGTTCACGACCTCCTGGCCGTTGCAACTTTTCGTGCAGTTAACAGCCTTCTGGGCTCACGCTCACAATGTGCTGGCATGTTCCAGGTTTCGGCAAACCAAACCACTTGGGAGGATGTGATTGCAAGTCGTCTTCGGCCAGTGCTTGCAGCTGGTGTGGCCGCGCCAAGGGCTGAACGGGCGAGTGCTGAAAGCACAACGCCAGCCATGTAAGGCATTGCTGGCTTGACGGAAAGGCTTGTATATGGGTTATTGGGGTCCGCGATCTCTCTCTTTAGAGGGGGTTTCCCAAATGGATTCTATTCTACCTGAGAGGCTCCTGGCACTCGTCCGTCCAGCATTTGACCTCGTCCTGCGAAGGATTCGAAGTCTAAAACGCTGCGTGCAGGCGTGTGGCTGCAAAATAATGACCCCTAGGTATGCTTGCAAAATGCCCAGCAGCTGCGTTTCTGCAAGGCGAGCTAAAAAAACATGGAAAAAAAAGGAAACCAAGCCAAACCAGCCAGAAAGCCAGCCAGGAGCCAAGCCAAACCAGCCAGAAAGCCAGCCAGGAGCCAAACCAAACCAGCCAGGAGCCAAACCAAACCAGCCAGAAAGCCAGCCAAACCAAACCAGCCAGAAAGCCAGCCAGGAGCCAAACCAAACCAGCCAGAAAGCCAGCCAGGAGCCAAACCAAACCAGCCAGAAAGCCAGCCAGAAGCCAAGCCAAGCCAGCCAGAAAAAAAGCCAGCCAGGGTTTCCTTTGAGGGCGCTCGCCTTGCAGAAACAAAGGCAGCTGCTGGGCATTTTGCAAAACCGCGTATCTAGGGGTCATTATTTTGCAGCCACACGCCTGCACGCAGCGTTTTAGACTTCGAATCCTTCGCAGGACGAGGTCAAATGATAACGGTAAAACTCATATAGGATATATAGCAGATGAAGTACTAAAAGCAATTCCTAAAGAATTTGAAAATGTTGTTAGTCAAGACAGAGAGTATTTAGGATTGAATTATTTAGTTTTACCCGTGTTAGTTCATAAAGCAGTATTAGAATTAAATGATAAAGTAGATAAACTTGAAAAAGAAATTAAAGAATTTAAAAAAGAAAAAAATAAATAATTTAAATATAAATATATAAATATATACATAAATATATAAATAAATATATAAATAATTAAATAAATAATTAATATATCTAGATATATATATGGACATTGACAGAAAAGTTAAAATAGAAGTATTATTTAAGAATGATAGTATGAGGAGCAAAGTATGCTACTGCGGTTGTCTAGTTACTAAATTAAATAAAGATGAATTTACATTAGATAAATGTAATAATAAAGAATGTAATTTTAGTCATTCTAAATTTGATGAATATATTAAAGAATTAAAAAGACAAAGAAGAGAAGAGGAATTCAACAGACGAGCGAGCAAGTGTGATAAAATATGTACTCCTTTTATGCAGTTGTTTTGTTGGCCTATTCTAATTCCTTTGAATATTTATTATTGTATTGTATACCTTTGAATATTTATTATTGTATTATATTATAATCTAAATAATAATATATAATGGGTATTGGTCAAAGTAAAAACGATGAAAATAACAGTATGGAAGACATTAAGAATTTAAGAGTAGATGAAAAAACAAGAGCGGATACTTTAATCATTAAATCTATTCAAGAATGTGTGGCAAGAATAGAAAGATTAGAAAGTCAAAAATCGGACAAACTAATATATAAATTACCAAACTTGCAACTTTGCAACGCTTCATTAATTTAAATTAATAACATTAAACAATAAATTTAATGTTATTGATTAGTTATTTTCAAATATTGTGAAAACTTTTTCATAAACATTTTATCAGGGTTCTTTTCTAAAAGGTTAATATATAAAAAACTATGCGGTTCATCAGTGGCAGTCTCATATATTTTATAAATTAATTTCTTGCTTTCGTGTAAATTATCACTTCTAACAATTGCTGATAATTCATCTTGTAATATTTCTATCTCTTTGAAGTTTCTAACTTTATAATAAAACAAATGACTTATATTTACTCTAATAATTGGTGGGACACTTGATGATTTCTGAAGACTGACAAGCGTTGATATTCCACTATGTCGACCTCTACAGAATAAAGAATTTTGCAATTTGTTATTTCTTGTTATTGCTGGATTATCAGATACATCATCCAAAATTATCAAAATATTAAATAACTTCTTCATTCCTTGTTTTTTCTGGTATTCAATTATTTTATTTTGAGTTTCTATAACTCTTTCTAAATCTTCAACATTGAACTCATCCCACCAACACGATTCTTTATCATTATCAACTTTTAAACCTTCTTTAATGTATTTTTTAACAGGCAACCAAATGCTATCCAAATTTACTGATGGGGACCAGATAAAAATTCTTTCAAATGATCCTCTGTAAATATCAAGTATCATTGATACAAGTAAAGTTGATTTTCCACTTCCAGATGGACCGACAATCATAGCTCTCATAGGCAATTTAGGGACGACCTCGTGCTTACTTTGCTTAAAGTCATATTTGATTTCATCAATTGGTTTTACATCTGGCATAATAAAAATAATATTATAAATACTTATAAAATAAAAAATATATAATATAATTATATCATAATGACAATACACTATATAGAGTCTATTAATTTAAGTGAAGTTACTAGTATTCGGAATATATATAAATTCGGTGATGTTTTAGTTCCAGATACTGGCCAAATTTATTATGATACGATTTTAAAGTTTTTATCGATGATTAATAACCAAAATACTATAATACCTAAATCATCAATCGAAAACGAGGATATCCTAAATTATAATAAATTATTGAATTTTATGAAAGATTATCCCGATATATATACAAATGAAATGATAAATGGTGTGCAAAAAATTATTAATAATAATATTCTAGATGTTGATATACCAACTGCAGTAAAACTTACTAAAGAAAATAGTTTAAGTAAATATTCTATTTAATATTAATGGAACATCATT